TCGGGACTGTGAATGATGCCTCTATAAAATATCTCCCAGGTACCGATTTCTGAGAGCCTTGAATTGGTGGGCCGGGTTAAGCAGTTGCCCTGCGTGGCAGTTTTGTTCAAACAGCTGCAGCTTAGTTACTGTTTACATCTTGATACTTTTGATACGTCACCTGCAACAATTTGAAATGCACTCCGAGCTTGTATTCCATGGGATGTCCGGTTAGGAACCTAGTTGGGTTTAAAGGGGGTCTTCCATATTTGTAAAGTGCTTGAAGTGAAGTCATGTTGAAAATCATTCGGTGCAGTTCAAAGACATGCCCTCCGTAAGACCAAAATTTCTCTAGTTTCTGAGCTACACGCCCGCAAAGATGTGCCGACTACTTCAATGTCACCGTGGCATTTATAACGTCATAATAACCTCATTCAAATACCGCCACATCAAAGGCCAAGCGGCGATCAAGGCCGAAAAAACATAATTGTCGAGTCGTTCGTATCTGGTGCTCGAAAGTACGATTTACAGATACGACGGCCATTGATTGGCTCTCAATAAATGTTGTGCGAGGTACTATGACGCGATCAAACAATGACGTACTGTGGGGCTGATTTATTAGGTAGAGAAATTGTGTTGCCAGAGTAGTCTTTTCCACTTGCAAAGTTTACCGATGGTTGTAAAAGAGCTCATTTCATCACATCTCATGCTTGTTTCCATGCATTTAATAGGTAGCATTCTCTAAGCTAAGCCACGTCGGACCAAAATATGGTTGAAGATGGCATCCACTATAATACGTTGTGATGTGGTCGTAGTCTTGCCTGATTAACTTAGCTTCACAACAGCGTCACAACCTCATTTTTAAACAGCAATCTGATTGTATCTGAGGTCACTGACTTAAGTTGACCATTGCTTTCAGTATGTGGCCCTTTCTTGGCATGAGGTATCGATTTCTTTTGTATTTGTGTAGAAGTAAACGGATACGAACGAGGCAAAATGTTTGTTTCATGCCCCATTCCTGACTAGTGCACGTGAACTGTATGTCAGGCATTACATTTGGCATTGTGATCACTCCTCGCATTCAATCTTGACCTCGCCCCTAACTTGATCTTGAGCAGAGGTGTCTCTTTTTTAAATCAGCTATGTGGCTCAGCCTGTAAGTTTGACTTAACATTTACCCCAAAACCTGGTTTCTTCACTTATTTTGACCACTTCAGTTGTGTTCTTGGCGTCGAGGTTGCATTTAAAAAACATCGGCCTGCGGCATGCTTAACTTAGTTTCATGTTGTAGTTGCGCCTCCCCTCCTCCATTGTGTAGCCTTGCATGTGCCCCAATTTAAGAAAACATCAGGCTCATGAGGGAAGTCGTAGAACGGTGAAGTTAACACATTGCTTATGTATAAAATAAAACGCTCATTGGTGGCAAGCTGCAGCAACAGGTGAATGCATACAGACACTTTTGCTTAAAAAGCCTGCGCAGACAGGTGAATGCATACGGCCACCTTTGCTTAAAAGCCGCACAGACAGGTGAATGCATACAGCCCACCTTTGCTTAATAACCTGCGCAGACAGATGAATGCGTACAGCATCTTTCGCTTAAAAACTGCGCAGATAGGTGCACGCATACAGCCACCTTTTGCTTAGAAGCTGCGCAGGACAGGGTGAATGCGTACAAAGCCACCGTTCGCTTAAAAATTGCGCAGACAGGTAAATACATGCGGGGCACCTTTGCTTAAAAGCTGCCGCATGACAGTGATTTTTGTCCCGATCAATTAGTTATCGCGTAAAAAAGTCTAGAAATGGTTCCAGATTGACCTTACTTCAAAGAAATAGAAATAAGGAAGGCACATAAGATGCATACAGGATACGATGTGATGTAAAATTTACCTGAAATATATAATAGCGATGCCTTGAGATAGGCACCTGCTGTACCAGCATTTTAAAGATATTTCCTGAATTTTGCTTTTATACTTAATTTTGCACATGTGCATCGAGAGACTCACATAAGTATGGGGGGCTCGAATCAGCATTGGAGGGGGGAGACAGACCGGAAAGTATGTAAAGTGACACGACCTTCACGATAAGGGTAGTAAAAATGTATTGGAGCTCTGACAAAATTTTAGAGGCAGCAACGGTGCTGTGGGTGAAAGGCCGGCACCTTATCATAAACCTATTTTGCCGCCAGACATACATCCCTAATAGAAATGATCTATGATCATGTAAGCATCCCTCTACTCTTGGTACCAGCAGTGCAGTGCTAGCGCCACCTATATGGCTGGCGCTACCCTCATCGCTAGCGCCGTCTATATCGCATCATGTTATAACGACTTTTGGTTGTTTTGGTTTTCATTCACCCACACCCAATCCATGTTTGGATTAAACTGAGGTAAGAATTGGTATATCACGTTTTCGTAAGCTGTGAAATATCTACGAAAAAGCATAATTAGGATACAAAAGCCCATCCGCTGTCCCACAAATTGTCATCTGTGAAATATTGCACATACTTCAAAGGCGCTCAAAGCAACGCTGTTCGGATTCCTAAGTGTCTGCGTCTTGTATGGGAAGTGTTTCGAAAATTTTGCAAAGATCGGTATGTATGTGACTTCGAACATACCAGTGCGATGCCAATTCATAAGAAAGGCGTCTGGGAGATAGGATGGGAAATGTTCATGACCTCGGCCCCCCAAATGAAAAAAGCAAAATTCCACCCCTGCGTGGCGGTAGATATGTCAATTGACACCACATCAAGGTTGTAGTAGCGCAGCTTTATATTTCCAGAGAGTATATTATTTCTGCTTTATTTGACGCACGCATATTATTTTACGCATTGATACAGAGGTCAGCAAAACAATGGCAAACGTTTCATGGTGCAACATCACTATCGACGCCGCCACTTTTCACTTCAACCTATTGCATTCGAATAAATTAACATCTCAGCGCTCATTGGGAAACGTTCATAAATAAAAAAGGAGAAATGAGGCAATCTTCCAGAACTTTAACGCCCGGGAAAATATTGCCATAAGCTTTCTCAAGGCTCCAGTTTACGTGTTGACAATTCAAATGCCCGTGATCCCTCAGGTGCCTTCCCGCGTTGTTGGCGTAAAGCCATCACTACAACACTCTCGCTATCCGCGACACACACCTCATGCATACCACAAGGTCGCCACAAGGTCACCCGCCAGTCACAGAGCACCTCCTAGTACGCCACGGAATGTACGAGCTGTCTGTCCGCAACGTCGCGTTCTCATGCGGAAGCGGTGGTCAGTGGGGGGCACCATCGCCGCTCGCCGCTGGAGAATGGAAATGACCCGGCAGTGGGCCCAGTGACTCACGCACCGGTCCTGCCGCTCGACACCCCCTGGGACAAACCACCGAACCTTGACAACACCAATACACAGCCACCTGATGGCCGGTGGCCGGGTGACGCAATAGGGTGCAGGGGCGCTCACGCGGCGTCGACGCCGACCCGGGCGTCTTATCCAGGGCCGCCTTCTTCTCGCTCGCAAAGCGCACCTTGCCGCCGCTGTGTCGTCGGCGCTGACGACGGCCGCATCGTCACTGGCGACAATCGGGTCGTCGTGCGCGGCGTCGCGCGCGAAGACGCTGAGGAGGCCGGCGAGCGGGCCGCCGCCGCCGCCCCTGCGGCGGTGCGCGTTCTGCCCGTGCCTGCGCCTGGAGGCCGCCCCTCTGCGGGGAGTACGGCCCCGTCCGCGTGTCCACGATAGTCAGCGGTCTTGCACACCTTGTGGTTGAGGCAGGTGTCGAAGCAGCAGCTGTCGGCCGTGGAGCATTCCGAGTCGCTGTAGCACTCAGTCGGGGGAGATGCCAGGCCGTAGGCGCGCAGGCAGACGGGCTGCGGCGGCGGGCAACACCTCTAAAACGAGAACGGGACTGCCTGCGTCACTCATACGACCGCAATGGACAGACACTGCTGCGCTCTGTCCCCAGCAAACGCCGCTGCGCTCTGTCCCCCTTAACAGATACCGCTGCACTCCGTCCTCCTTAACAGACATCGCTGCGCTCTGTCCTTCTCAACAGACACAGCTGCGCTCTGTCCTTCTCATCAAACGCCGCTGCGCTCTGTCATCCTCAACAGACACTGCTGCGCTCTGTCATTCTCATCGAACGCCGCTGCGCTCCATCCACCTCAACAGACATAGCTGCGCGCTGTCCTTAACAGGCGCCGCTGTTCTCTGAGACAGTCAACAGACAACCGCTGCGCTCTGTCCTCAATAGACGCCGCTGCTCTCTGTCATTCTCAACAGACACTGCTGCGCGCTGTCCTCAACACACACCGCTGCTGCGCTTTATCCTTCTCAACAGAGACCGCCGCGCCCGACCAACCCGACCAGCCGCGCCCCGCCTACCGAGCAGGCAGTGCTTGATACTAAGCTTTTTTTTAGTATGTGCATGGCAACGTTACAGAGTACAGCACGAAAGGGGTGAAGGGGTGTTAAACATCATCCTCTGATGCAAAATCTTGTCGCGTGCAGTCTGTGTGCATGAAAGGCAGACGCAAATTGTTACATATAGCGGCACACCTATTTTTGTGCCGTCGGGTTACAGCAGGTGAGAAGTCATTCTTATCCTCCGCTAAAACTAAAGCGTCGCCGGGATACAACTTACACATGGTCTCGAGTCAGCTGAGTTTGCTGCCTGCATGCGGACGTGGGATTGCTCGCCGCTTCCCCCGCCCACAGGCGCGAACATAGTTGGCACAACAACACTTCAGTTGGAGCCCCCTGCCGCTGTAGTCGACTTCTCTAGCGACAAGCGCATACTCACTCAGCTCTCCGCCGGGGTAGACGTAGGGCCGCGTGGGGCCGACCACCGGCGGCTGGGGCATACTCACTCAGCTGTCCTTCGGGGTAGACGTGGGGTCGCGGGGGCCCGACCACCAGCGGCTGGGGCATACTCACTCAGCTGTCCTCCGGGGTAGACGTGGGGTCGCGGGGGCCCGACCACCAGCGGCTGGGGCATACTCACTCAGCTGTCCTCCGGGGTACACGCAAGGCGGCGTGGGGCCGACCACCAGCGACTGAGGCATACTCACTCAGCTGTCCTCCGGGGTAGACGTAGGGTCGCGAGGGCCCGACCACCAGCGGCTGGGGCAATACTCACTCAGCTCTCCGCCGGGGTACACGCAAGGCGGCGCGGGGCCAACCACCAGCGGCTGGGGCAATACTCACTCAGCTGTCCTCCGGGATAGACGTGGGGTCGCGGGGGCCCGACCACCAGCGGCTGGGGCATACTCACTCAGCTGTCCTCCGGGGTACACGCAAGACGGCGTGGGCCGACCACCAGTGGCTGGGGCATACTCACTCAGCTGTCCTCCGGGGTGGACGTAGGGCCGCGTGGGGCCGACCACCGGCGGCTGGGGCATACTCACTCAGCTGTCCACCGGGGTAGACGTAGGGTCGTGGGGGGGGGGGCCGACCACCAGCGGCTGGGACATACTCACTCAGCTGTCCGCCTGGGTAGACGTAGGGTCGTGGGGGGGCCGCCTACCAGCGACTGAGGCATACTCACTCTGCTGTCCTCCGGGGTAGACGTAGGGCCGCGGGGGGCCGACCACCAGCGGCTGGGGCCTGTACACGTCCGGTCCGCGCCTGTCGCAGCAGTAGTACTGCTGCCGGCCCAGCCCTGGGTAGTAGTTGTCCCGTCGGCACCAGTTCCTGTCGGCGGGCACAGCGGTCAGAACCGAGCGGAGACGTCAAGGTTGGTCGTTTCGCGCAGACATGGATACGCCGGCGCCAACCAGTTTTAACCAGTTTTGCAGGGCCGTTGAAATGGTTACTGACGATTGGCTTGGAAGCCTACACCCATGCCAGGTCCATCATGGGCGTCCATATCCTGTCAGACTGAGATTTGTTATGCGTTCAAGATCGAAACGTAAATATGAATGTCTAAATATCAAAGTGCAAGTGACTCTGCCAAATGAGTGTGTGAAGGGGCTTAGCAGTAAAAAGTTTTGCAAATTCTCCCAAAATGCGCCAACAAACGGATCTCTCCCCGGATCTGCCCCACTTTCCCCAAGTTTGGGGGTGGCGGAGGGAAACCAAGTTAGCGGGGGGGGGCTATAGCCCCAGCTAAACAGTAGACTTCATCCCTTCCCACCAGCAAATAAAAGCGGGGTCTGTCGAAATGATCAGAAGTGTACCTAATGCCTAAATTTAAGATTTTGTTTCGATGTGGGTGCATGCGCCGTCACTCGGTGAGAGTGCATGTGCCGTCGTGTAGTGATAGGGCGAGAAATGTAACTGCTATCTGGAAAACTAACAGGCAGACATGGATGCAAATCGCCAGTGCGTCCATGTTTTCCATGCTGTATCATACGCATCGTGCTGATATCTGAAACATTGGGAATACACGCCCATCCTCAGTTTTTTTCCGCGACGCATGGAAAGAATTGATTTCGAACATGCGCACTTTGCACTTTAAAGGAAATGTTTCACATTTGAAGATATAGAGGCACACATCAGATGCAATGAAACAGCCCACTTATAACTAATGGCGTACTGTGAGGGGTTAAAGGCTGCTCTAGACAGCATAGTTCACTGTTTAGTAAGTGCGCTTCTCAATGCGTCATGGTTTGATTGCGCCATCGTACCTCTCACAACATTGATTGAGAGCCAATTGACGGGCGTTATATCTGGAAATGGCGCTCGCGAACGTCGGATGTGAACGTCTCAACAATTATATTTTTATTGGCCTTGACCGGCGCATGGCTTGTGCAACGGCAGGATCTGAATGGCGTTGTTATGACGTCATGAATGCCGTTCCCCACTTTCGCGGGTATGTAGCGCAGAAACTATGGGGCTTAGGTCTTAAGAAGTGCAGGATTGTAAACAGTACCGAAAGGTCTTTAAGATGGCTATTTCAGTTAAATCCCCATATAAACATGGAACACTCCCTTTAAGGACATTTCTATGCCCCTGCGTGAAATTCGATGAAAACCCCTAGACTGACAGAACTGATCACTACAGGATGATCCTACCCCAGAATAGAAAATTGCCGGGGCAAGATTTTGATGTTACGTTGTGAGATCATGGTAAGACATCCCGAACTTACTTGCAGTACGACGGCCGTATGTAGGGGTTGCCACCAGGGTATCCGGTACCGGGGTACCCAGTGCCCGGGTATCCGGTGCCCGGGTATCCGGTACCAGGGTACCCGGTACCAGGGTATCCGGTGCCAGGGTACCCGGTACCAGGGTACCCGGTACCAGGGTACCCGGTACCAGGGTACACGCCGCCCAGGTGCCGGCCAGCAAAGCGTGACTGGACGTCGCTGGCCGGCTGGTCGGAGCTGACTTTGCTGTCGTCGCCGAGGACGGCGGACAGAGCCAGCGCTAGTGCCAGCAAAAGCTTCATCTGAAACAGGACGTATGCCCCTGGTCAGAGCCCGAGAGTACTGTAGCGGGACGGTGCCAGCCGGTGGAGACGGGACCAGGATAAAACGAGCGTGAGGTGCCAAACAAAAACGGTCGACGAGACACAGACCCGAGCAAACACGGAAGCCTTCATAATGATCACAACGCTGTTTGTCCTGATGTCCTTCGGTCGTATAAAACACAAACGCCTTAAAAGTTGTCCCAAAAACATGCTGGCAACGTGGCAAGAGCCCACAGTGAGCCCCCAAGCAAACACGGAAGTCTTCATAATGATCACAACGCTGTTTGTCCTGATGTCCTTCGGTCGTATAAAACACAAACGCCTTAAAAGTTGTCCCAAAAACATGCTGGCAACGTGGCAAGAGCCCACAGTGTATCCTAAGCATTCTATGTGGGGGCGTGATGACCTGTTACGCACCATCACTAGTTTTGTCAGATATCGATACTGCCCTTTGGCTTGCCGACAGCTGCACTACAATGCTTTTCTTCGCAACGTTGCAAAACCAGTTATGCAAATTGTAACGTTCAAACAATGGATTTTACGTAAAAACGCGCTGTGAAAGTCATATATGACTGACACAGGCTGAATAGTGCATTGGACGACAAGTGCATCGGACGGCTAATGCAACGGACGCTAGTGCATCGGACGACTAGTGCATCGGATGACTAGTGCATCGGACGACTAGTGCATCGGATGACTAGTGCACGGGACGACTAGTGTATCGGACGACTAGTACATCGGACGAATAGTGCATGGGACGACTAGTGCATCGGACGACTAGTGCATCGGATGACTAGTGCATCGGACGACTAGTGCATCGGATGACTAGTGCACGGGACGACTAGTACATCGGACGACTAGTGCATGGGACGACTAGTGTATCGGACGACTAGTACATCGGACGAATAGTGCATGGGACGACTAGTGCATCGGACGACTAGTGCATCGGACGCTAGTATATCGGATGACTAGTGCATCGGACGACTAGTACATCGGACGACTAATGCATCGGAGAGGTCGAAAAATGGACCGCTGATCAGTTCGATGCCCGCAGTCTCTACGTACTCCTGGGACGAGTCGTTACTGTGCTTCGGACTGGTCTCTGCCCCAGACGGCATCTCGTCTCACCTCGGGTGGTTGACGTCAGGCGGTGGGTCGTCTCAGGCGCAGCCCTCCGAGTCTTACTGCCCTGCTTCCCGCCAGGCCTCCCTTTATCTCGGCACGCCGGGCCAAGCGTGTCAAGGTCAGCCCGCCGGGGGCGGCCCGGTTCCGCACTGGAATAACCGCCGTCCACCTGAACGTCCGCGTGGGGGGACCACCCTCCGATCGGGCCCGATCGTCCCCTGGCCGGGGCGACGCGACCCTGAGACCGCGGACGTGTCGCCCACTCGGCCGGCCCGCGCGCACCGGCCGACCGGCGCAGCGCATGGTTCTGCGACGCAGCAGACGCTGGTTACGGCGCGGTACGTGCTTTACGCGGAAGAAAGACGTCGGCGCCGGTCGGACTTCTCCCTGGAAGCGCTTATGGGTCATGTTTTTCCAAGGTCACTCGGTAGTGCATTTGATGAGAAATGAAATAGTAGAAAAGCGTAGGTTCAGGTTTAAGGGGGCGCGAACACGTCACCCCATGATGCTCACCAATGGCTTCGCACCGGAATGGCTAATTTCATTTTGAGATAGTTGCATAGTGTGTGGTTCAAGCTATGAAGGAAATCTTGGAAAAGGAACAAAAAGGAAGTCTTGATGTCAGGTGTGGCGTACAAACGTATTATTATAGTCCTGCTGCCGAGACTCCTTGAAAGCCTACATAGAGTTGCCTTATGTCCCTATTGGTCCTATTGAAGTGCACGTCTATGACGATGGTTGAGGGGCTGGATCATCCAGCAGAACCGGGTGCGCCTAGATGGGCTTTTGCTTAGGAACCCTTTTGAAAATGTTAATGATACCCATTGCTCATCCAATTCCTTTCTGTATAGATTGGACGGAAATTTGCTGTGCATCATGGTGCTGTTCAAACGCGTGTTAACTAAGATTTCCGCGATCCATAGGCTGAGACATGAGAAAGGTGTTGTGCTGCTCAAAAGAGTTGGGTATACCAATGATCAAGCAAAATTTTTGGAGGCTTTTGTTTCGTGTATTTAGAAGTAGCGCTTAACTTCTGTGGACAAATATAAATCGATTAGTTATTATTAAGTTGTTGATGCTGTTCATCTTTTACGTGTTTTGTAGTTTTTGTGGATTATTTGCACTGACGGTCTGATGAGCTTGGCAACAACAAAATATCCCGTCTTCGGCGCGTTAAATAAATCCATGTATGTTGAGCTTTTTCATGTGAAAGGTATAAGAGACGGCAAACATTGGCAATAGTTAGGCTTCGTCAGGTTGGTAGGAACACATGTTCGAACGATGAGAAAGCTAATTTTTAACGCGCGCCCGGGCGGCCAGTTGAGTTCCCTTTGCTTGGGGGGGAGGTCAATTTGGCCCCGGCTGAGATCTCAGGAAATAAAAGAGCTAGAGACACCAAATTAACAGGGTGTGTTGGCCTGTGCGTGGAATCACTTAGGTCAGGGTTTTAGGTTCCTAGGTCATGGCCTTCGGGTCAAGCAAGATCAAACAAAATCAAACTTCAGGCTGATCTCCAAATAACCCTCAGAACCGAGACACATTTTCTAAACAAAAGGACAAGTGGTCATTAAGGGTCAGTGATCTTGTTTGTCCTTTTGAAGGTCATGGTGCCTAAAATCATACGAGACTGTTCTGCGTCTTGTGTTTAATAAATGACGACGACTACGCCTGGTAGTATTTTCCTAAAAACTAAATGTTGACCTGAGGTATTATAGGTCAGTGCCCTGTTCTAGTTTCTAGTGACCCTAGTTCAATAGAATTTGTTCCTGCTATTGTCGCGCTGCCTAAGAAAGTATCTCAGAGATGTATGGCTTCGTATAACACTCCGTTGTTGCATCCGATTAAACGAGTTTCTACGAACTGACCTCGCTGCATCCATGGCTTGACTTTGACCTGTCTTAGGTCAGAGACCTTACAAGGCATATCTAAATTTCACATAACAAACCATCCGCTGTTAAGTTGTCTACGGTATGCAAAATTTGGCGCGGCTACGCCGCGCCGTTCGGAAACCATTCCGGAAAAACTTCAAGGGGATCAATTTGCCCCCCACCCGAGCGGGTGTTAAACAAAGAATTTGGGCGGACTTGGTTCGTCAAAATACGTAACAGTCCGCTAAATTGGGAGTGCGACCGTGCCTTATTAGGAATATTTGGCTGATTGTGAATAAAAATGTGAAAGAACCGGTATTCTTTTAAAAACAGCCAAGCGATCGTACCTTTCCGTGGCCCAAACACATGATTTTTTAAAGCCGTTCTCGCCTCCTTTCGCCCAGCAGGCGCGCAGCCACCTTAATCGCGATCTGAGTCCAACCCGGAACCTAATATATTCTTTGCTCCTTTCTAGGTAGCGCAGAAGACCGGTTTAGATCAGTGCACCGAGCGCTGCGCTGTAGCGATGGGCTCCTACCAGGTCACACATGTCGCCGCGTCAGTGTGGGAGCATGTTTATGGTATGGTGGAGGCTGGAGATTATGGTAATAGTTGAGTTTGGGTGCGGGGCGTATATGGGATGTCTGTGAGAGTACACTGCTTTGATGAGGCTCGAATATTGGACTTCATCTCCTAGTGCCGCCTCCCACCGGTTCCGATGCTGCCAGGTATTCAGGTGCCCCGGCTGTTGAGATTTCCCTTAATTTTATGTAAGTTGCTGAGTGCACTTGCGAGGAACATTATCCATAAAGAGGTCGACAGTAGTAATGGCCTTATTCCTCGGAAAAAGAACAGGAGAATGGAAATATAGCTGGGTTGATATTTTGGCAGCATGCACTTACGAAAACAATAGCAGAAATGAATTCAAAATGGTCTGCCGATGAACCTACTAGATTTTTCAGGATTTTTTTTTGGAAACAGCAAGTCACAGTTTTTACAGGACACCAGCATTCAGGGGATTCAGCGAAGAGCAATTGCTAGCAATTACCACGATTCAGTGCATATCTGAGAATTAGAATACGTAAAAATATGTGTACGTGCAAACGAATTGGAGCAAATCGGCATCACACATCACGTTCCATTCAACCATGCAAACGAGTTGAAGTGCACAGGCATCACATATTGCACATCAGCTTTACATACAAGCGATTTCAATTGAACAGGCATCGCACATCTCGCGTCGGGCATCACTTACACCTGTGAACAATTTTAAGCTAGCATATATCACGTTCGCATAATCGGCCATGATGAGCCCTGTACGTTAAGATTTGGTCTCCGACTTTTTATAAGAATGGATTTACATATATTCCTGTCTGGGTGGTCCTGTGCTCTCTAGATGACTTTGAGCTCTAAAAGCGGCAAATGGTCCATACCTCCCTCGATTTCAGCCTCAGCGTGTTTTGCCAAAAAAAGGTCACCGAAAGGGGTATTCCCTGTTTTGTTTTTAGCGTCTCGCAGGTATTCATTATATCTCAAAAGAATAGGGCGCATGGACTCCCCGACACCAGCTATGTCCCTCCCATACTTTCACACAACTTACGCTCAAGAATAAGGCTATTACTGCTGTCTTGTCCCCGCTTTTTTTGCATTTGAGGGTTTTGGGAATGGAATCCAGGGGTAGGTCAAGATTAAACCTGAAGCCCGGCAAGTCCCGACGGTGGATGAAGACTTCTTTGGTGATCGGATTGTCCTACAGAATTGGGCCGATGTGCCCACATCCCAGGCGGCAGCATGTATCCTGCCATTAGTCGAATGACATTGTATGAATCATCATTTCGGCTGCGTTTGCATACTTTTCTAAATCGCGGCAATGAGAAGCGCCTTTTTATCGCAAATTCAAGCCAGAACTTGATGGCCCTAGAGGACATAACTTTATTGACTTCATTGACTTCAGACTTCACTGCTATTTTGTGTCATATGGTGTAAGATTAAGCTGCTGGTGACGATGTTGCCCATAGGAATTCGCTCGAGGACAGAAATATACTTTCACCACCCTTGGGTTAAGTGCGCAGTCATTGCTGACTTAAGCAAGCTCACTGCGTATGTAGGCCTGTCACCGATCCTGCTCAGCTTTTGGCGCCTTTTTAGCATATTACTACCGCGTAGTAGGAAGTGCTGCAGCTTGTTCTTTATCCAGTTTGGTGTTAACGTATGGTTCTGTGCGTCGCTGGGATAGTGGGAGTGAACTTCTGGTTGCCTTTTACTCCGTTGTGGTTAGGAAAAAATAGCATGGACTTTAAAATAGGACCGACTGTAACCAACGCAATGCTGCTGTAAGGCGGTGCAAGTTATTCAATGTATTTAGAAATAGACTTAAAATTAGATGATGCGGTAGCATTTACCTGTTTGCACACCCTGCTTTATGTGACAATGTGGACAAAGTTGACGTTTAAGCATCCGTAGACTGCAGTTTTATACAGACACAAGTTATTTGATTCAACTTTCCACCACTTCCTCCCGAACTTATCGTCCAACTGAGAGTGTGTCAAACCAGCGACAAGCCTTCCTCGGTCTTCCCGGCATTCGTTCTCACGCCGAAGAAGAGCGTGAGCTCACCTGGTCATTTAATTCCAAGGACTATGCCCATTCAGTGGTGGAGCTAACCTACCGGAAGTAAGGGGATCCCGAAAATTTAGCAGACGACACTCACAGAGTGACACGCTGGGGAATCACAGATTTACCGGGCTGACTTAGGTCACCCATCGCCAACCCGCATCCTTCCCCCACAGCCAAATATACGTGACGCTGTCCTGGCTTACTATGTCGTAGTGGCGTTCAGCAATTCTGATCAGCCTGTTGTATTGGTTATGAGAATGCAAACGCTATGACATTGGTGTTTATGTTCAGCCTAGCGTGTTAGCGGCTGCATGTGTCGGCAGATGAACGCATTCTGGTTGGGTGTGCGCTCCAGCGGAACAGCAACAGATATGCGCCTATCACTACGATCCAACTGCCTCTCCCGTCTGACTTGCCGAAGCCACCCACAGGTGAGAAGACCGATGCGGGGTCACGGCAGGTGAGGCTTACGTTGCCTGCACGAGGATCTGGCAGCGCGGCTGGCTGAGCGCGGGGCAGTTCCCCGTGTCTCGCTTGGACAGCACCATGCCTCGCGGAGCCACCTAAGAAAAGAATACGACGCGAGTTACTGGCGCGAAAAGCGTATTTTCCCGACTTCCCCGTTAACGACATCATCTCAGGTCAGGTGCCAGTCCAAACCCTGATGCAAACCCTGATACAAACCCTGATACCCCATTCCCCTTCTCTAATGCTAGGACGTGGCTACGCCACTGAATGTGGGTGCATGGACACGGAGAACAACAAAACCGCACCAATTGCATCACAATTATGACGACCGGCACGGCCATCACGGGCGTCAGCCGTCGGCGTGCCACAACAGAGGCTGACCTGCGCTGCCCGACGCTGGTCGGGAGCTGGCTGGGAGGCGGCCGCCTGGTCCCCAGCGGAAGTGGCCGGTCCACACATCCGTGCCGAACCTTGGTCACGCAATGTCAGGCCCCGTCGCAAAAACGACAGTGAGCCGCGCCAGCACCCGCTG